CAAATCTGGACTTTCAATCAAAACATTTTTGACAGTCTGGACATTTTTGTCCAGAAGGATCTTCTTTATTGAAAACATTTGTTTTAATATTGGATTCGAACGGTAAAAGGGTTTGTAATACATACCAGCTGACAAATGGATTTCGTGTACAAGTAAAGGTAAGACCATAAACTTTTATTATTTCTAGTTAGAAATAAGCTCAATTGGAATAAATTTTAACCTCAAATTAAATATGGGTCACGTTTGTGTGAAGAATGTTGATATGAGATATAAAACACAACGCATTGTCTGTTAACAGACAGTTTGTTAACGGTTCATTCATTCATTCATTTTCTACGCTTAATCCCTGAATGGGGTCACGGGGGGGGGGTCAGTGCCTCACCAGCTGTCAACCTCACCGCACGTCACTGCATATGTCCATAATGCATTTCACTAATACCCTACTGGAGGCATGGCAGCCTTTTGATTAAATATGTTTAGCTTTAATTGCAGTAATTCATTTTTCACTTGTGCTTGTGCTCATGTATGTAGTGCTGTTGGCAGTTTGTTTTGTTGACTGACCCTTTTGTTTAGTAGTGACCCAGAACATTTTCTGGATTAAACAGTAGATTTTCTGTCACATCAGAGATGTGTTGTGTTTATGTGACTGTCTTGGTGTGTGTGTTTGTGTGTGTTTGTGTCAGGTGTTGCTGGAGACTGGAAAAACCATTTCAGCTCAGAGCAACTGGCCCGATTCACATCAGTCATTAGCAAAGAGCTGGAAGGTGAGCGCTTCTCTCTGCCATGGAGTCTGGATTAATCAACAGCCGGAGTGAAGACGGAGAGGCTCATGGACATTAATTACTGTATCTCAGCTGAGTTTGTTTTAATGTTAAAATATAACAAAGCTTTTTATTGACTTTTTTAATCTGGTAGTTATCCACCAGGATTTCAGAAAGCTTCGCAAGATGAACCTACACACAATACCTAAGTAATATCTGATATATAAATGGTCAAAATATTAATTTTCATAGCTACCCAGTAAATTTTATTTGATTGTATCTTAGCATTGATCACCTTTTCATCGAGTGATTAACTTTTTATAATCATCACAGCATTTCATCTTTTGATTTTTGAATTATTACTGGGTTGATGTACATTCCTTCAGTATCTCAGTTTGTATTACATTTTCCATGCTTTTTTGGCCTTTAATTAAAGTTTATGATAATAGACAAGTTCCATTTACTGGGTAATCCTTTTTTCTAAGTGTTGTCTTTGGGGATTTGTCTGTTGCAGTTAGTTTGCTTTAGCTGCTAAACATAGCTGGGAAATAACAGTCCTCTGGAGGCAAACAGCGGTTGCATTAACAAAAGAGCTGTTGTGGACTGGAGTGATTACTGCAGTGGTTCCCAAACTGGGGGTCAGACCTACACATGGCGTAGGATGATCCGTGTCTCTTTGACTTGATCCGTTTCCTGATTATCACAAACTATTTTATAGTAGTAGTAGCAGTAGTAGAATTTCTACAGGCCATATTAATCAGTGTTGTGTTACTATAATTTTGAATGTCATTGCCATAAAACTGCATGATTTGTCCAGTGTTCTCGACCTGTCCTGAGCTTTCGTTCACTACCAATCCACTGGAGCAGTTACAGTGTAGTGTTGTAGAGAGTTCTGTGCAAGTCTGCGTTTTCCAGAGTGAATAATGAGAAAAGACAGATTAGACTGGAGAGAGAAACAGTGAAAACAGATACAGAGAGAAACTTTACAGTTTTTCTCAGTCGCTTTTGTACAATTCTCGAAACATCCTTGATATTTGCAAAACAATAAGTGCATTTCTCAAAACTGTTTGCACAAACGGCACCACACAATGGATTAGCTGCAAAAGCGCATCACTTGCTCAAAATCCTTAGTTTATCTCTTAAAAGTAAATATTATGTCAGTGCCGTCAGAATGACGTCTTTGTGTCATCGTTTACAGACATGTCAGTCAGAATGTTTAGTCATGTTGTCAGTACAACAGTGTACAGTAAAATGTAAGTATTTTCCTATGAAAACTGTGGCTCAGGTTTAGATGACAATGATTGAAAATATAGAAGGTGTCTGTATGGCAGGCATCAGTTTCAACAGCACAAAGTTTCACATTCACTGACCACTTTATTAGGTGCACTTGTACAATTGTATGTAATTCAAGTTGTTCCTAATAATTAAACTATATAATATAGTCCAGTACAACAGCACCTTTAACTATGACCTCAATAATAAACATATAATTGAATTGATACATTTATGACAATTTCACCAAAAACTGAAACATTTTGAGCTTTATAAACACAGATGTTAAGGTGAAGTGTTGCACTGAAGTGCATACAACTGTACAGCTGTACCTAATAAAGTGGCAGATGAGTGTATGTGGAAGACTGACTTCAAAAGATTAGACAGATTTATAGTATTGTCACTGTGATACAGAAAAAGTTTTACATCATTGCATAGCACAAAGGTAAAAAAACAACAGAAATGTAAACAGAAGAAACACCCCTAGACAGAACAGCTGTTCTCCCAACTGCCTTCAACCAGCCTCGGCCATTGTAAGGCTATGAATGACAATGTGGTTGACAGGTGTGGACCATATTCCAGTGGGAAGGTGCTTACTGTATGTGTTGTTCTTCCATTGTTAGAAAGTGTAACACTTTGTTGTGCTCTGTCTATGTTGTGCTTGCCAGTTGAAGGTTCATGGGATTCAACTCTGAGCTATTTTACAGTAGATCATTGGTTGATCTTATGCTTCACACATTCCCCTTCACTAGTGAAAGTCAAGATTCCCCTGAGAGCAACTCATCAATTCAGACAAAGTTGCAAACAAGTCTGACCTGTGTTAGAAATTAATAATTCAGTCAGATAATTATAGACATTAATGTGTTTTAATGTGTTATTAATGCAGTTAGTAATATTTGAAGTCTGCTCTAGTGTGCTTTGCTTCAAGGTTAGAAGATAATGTTAAATCTGAAAAGTGAATCTTGACGTCAATTGTTTTCTTGTTTTAATCTTGTGTTAGATTTATGTCTGAATGATTGGTTTAGTTACACACCACGTAACAACATACTGTACACACACATGGAGTTCTTCATTTGTTCTGATTAATGCTTGACGCATGTGGAGCATAAGAGCCGAGGAGGAGTCGTCGGACTGTCTCCAACTCATGATGATTCTATATCTGTTTGCGTAAAGGGGTTAGCCTAAGAAATTGTATAAATGTATTAAGCTCTGTGTTCCAGGAGGCTTCTCTTCTCCCACAGCTTGTCTGACAGCCTGTATAGAAATATTCTTGACAAATGCTAAGGACAACTAGCTCACCCATTTTGTATGTAATGACATCTGCAATTAACTAATGCCTAAATGTTGTGGGAGGTCAGACTATATAACAGAGAACTATATAATACAATTTGATCAACATGACATAAACAACAGACAGTTGTACATAATCAGCTGCATGAATGTGCCAAAGCATTTGCCATGTGTTAAAAACAATGAGAAATTGTTTAATTGATGTGCACAAGTGACTGGATGATGTAAAAGTTGAACAAGTAGTTTAGAGAATTTCAATTCTGATCTGAGAAATGTGCAAAAGTGACAGAAGAAATGTAAGAAGGTTCAAATGATTAAAAGGAAAATGCCTCATGTTTGTAAAATGATTTGGTGGTAATTATAATTTACTCAGAAGTAGTTTGATAAATCATGATGATTTGGTATTGGATCAAAACCAGATGTTATGCCCACTCCTACATTGCTTTACATTTCTTAAAAAAGAAAAAGAAACATACCAGTAGATTAAAGGCAAACATGTCCAAACGTGTTTCTCCCTTCATGCTGCAAATACCAACAGAGGGAGAGGCAGGAGGAACTAAAGGATTTGTCCTCTCAGTCACTGATCACATGGCTGCACACATGCAGACACACAAACACACACACATTTGGAAATCAATCAAATCAAAGCCCTTTGTCGTCATTGCAAATTTACAATGAGAAAGTTGCTGTCCCTCAATTAATGTTACCAAACAGAAGACATTTTGCTTAGACAGACTTCTTTTTGATTTCATTTGGAAAAATAAACCACACAAGGTTAAAAAGGAAATTATGTGTTTACCTCTTACACAGGGCTGGCTCAATGTTCTAGATTTTTCTTCATTTAACCATATTATTATTATTTGACGCGGGAATGATCACAGATAGCCTATCGTTCGATAAGGCAGCTGTTGCGCTGCATTATGGGATTTGTAGTTTGTGTGTTATTGGCGTTTCATATCGCCGGACCATTAAAAAAGATATATAAAATGATCTCGCGGGCCGGATGTAATTGTACCCCGGGCCTTGAGTTTGACACATATGTTCTAGAGCATCTTTTTTCTTCAATGTGCACATGTAACAGTATTTTGGGCTGACTTTTGTTTTGATCTCAAAAATTATCTTGGTATGGAAATTGTACTTAAAGAATGTGACATATTATTAATTTTTGACAAGCCCCGTTTCTCTAGCAATGAAAAATTTATTATTAATCCGTTTATTATTTGGGCCAAATTCCTCATCCATAAAATGAAATTTCTGAAAAAAAAAATCACCATTCCTTTAAACAATCTGATCTTAATTACTTCCAAACACTGTCAGAATTAAACCACCCTAACAAAAACAGAACCAAAACCATTGACCTTAAACGTTTTAATTTTATATCAGAATAGCCTTACCTCTTTATATTTTATATATTGTTCTTTTTCTTTTCTGTGCTCACTTGTTTGGTTCTGTTATTCTTTTTCACTGTTATATTATGCCTACTTTTGTCCTGTTGTCCGCTTAATTCTCGCTGTTATACATCTGTCGCAACAATTTGTACTGAAAAATCTTGTATTGATTTGCACCGTTTAAAAAACCACTAAAAAAACAAACAAAAAAACCTATTATAAATAGAACCCTTGGGAGCGAATCCCGTTGGGAGTGCGCCCTCTGCCGGGGGGGAGGTGACCCCCAGCCCAGCCAACCAACCGTCCACGTCGTAGCCTCATCCGGGCATCTCCACGCCGTTAAAGGCGGGCGATGTTTAGTGGCAGAGCACAGTCCCAGCTGGCATTATCGGGCCACCGATCTTTTAAGTTTTATAGCCTACTTACGTTTCTTTAAATAAGTCGTGTGTGTATGTGTGTGTGTGTATATATATATATATATATATATATACACACACACACACACATATGAACATATATGTATGTTTCAAAATATAGCAAAAACAGCCGTTTTATATATATATATATGTGACATATTTCTACAGTTACATATTTAATATGCATAAATGCTCATACATTGACTATTAATTTATATCTGCTTACATTAACTAAAAAAATATGGCCACTTCTTGTGTCATGTATGCATGTGGTATCAAAATATGGCAACAGTTAATACAGTAGTATCTTTAAGTACCTGTTTGTGCTCAACCATGACAAATTTTATATCACAAAGTCATACACATCAATGTGAAAAAAGGGATGAGACATAAATGGTTTTCTGGGACTCTTTTCTGGGGGGGGGAAAGTGCAAGAAGACAAGATAGAACAACATGCAACTTTTCTCAATGGAAACAGTCAGGAGAAAGCACTCCCTAAACCAAAACAAAAACCCCACACAGTTTGATGAATTTCTTTAAAACAAACGTCTGCTTTCAAGTTAACTCTTAACATGCACTAAGCCACCATTTGTTTATCAAAGTTTTGACATTATCAGCATCTCTAAACAATTTGATTGAGAACTTTAACTCAGTGTTTCTTACAAAGCATGAAATCACACTTTTATCACAACATTCAATAATTTGCCCCCATCACTTATTCTCAAACCACTTAGTCATGGACCAAAGACGTACTATCACGTCTACACAAAGCCGCCAAACTTTCCATGACAACAGCTTGTCGGCTGGACCGGATATCATTTCATTCCCCAACACTGACTGGTAATTTCATTACAATAGTGCATAACGGGATGCTCAACAATATCCATTAACATCAACTGTTAGCCTTACATTTTCAGATGAGAAAAACAAGCAATTTATTTTTTATCTCAATATTGGTCGAGATAACCAAAATGAGATTATGTGGTGATGGTGATCCATTTTTATAAAGGGTGTTTGTGCAGTGAGTATTATCAACAATTTAAGAGCATGGTAGCATTGTTTCCTGGATGACAAAGGAAAAAAACAGTGATCACTCGTCAATATCAAAAGCTGACAATGGAGAAGAATAGATGGCAGCTCAGTGGCCATGAGATTACCATAGGAACCCACAGCTATAGTCTAACTCTGTTTATCCTTACTCATTTTGAAAACCTTCAGCCTTCAATTTAATAGAGATTTCCAGTGTAATAAGGACTGCACAGCACAGGGAGATAATGTGAAATAGAAACAATATTCATTAGAACATAATTCTGTTCTCAAAGACATAAATATAAAAACAATTACCAAGCAAATAGAGGGATGTCACTGGTATACAGGGATGCTTTAAATTAATTACACTCCTTTGTCTTTTAAGGTTATAAATAAGACAAAGAAAAGGAATTGCACTCCCTATTTGAATTTCAAAAAAGTAGCACAGGTAGCAGTTTTTTTGTTTGTTTTTTTTTACAAATGTTCCTGTGACAAATCAAAATAAGACATTTTTTCCTGCTACTTAACAGATTTAATCAGAATCTAAATGGTGCTGTCTAATGCAGCATCTAACATTTAACCTAAAGGTGAATTGGATTGTATGATTACAACCATGCCACTGAAATGCCACATGAACAGCAAGGACACCAGGTGCATTATCTGCCTTTAAGAATGATGCCTTTTATCCTGCTGCAAATAGTAAACTGACTTAAAATGGCTGCTGGTAGAAATGGACTGGATAAGGAGGAAAGTCTGCTAACAAATGTGAAGTGTAGGCTGACAATCCTGGTCAGTTTGAGGACTTTAAAAAGAGAGTTATGATTGATTCAGTGTCTTTTGTACTCTCTATCCCTTTGGCTCAAAAACAAGCAATTCTAAAATGTTACGAGAGCTTGACAGCAATCTTCTGCTCCTTTTTCATCATTCTCTGAGCGTCTTTCTCCAACTTCTTCCTTTGCTGCTCCATGGTTCGCTTTTCTCTCTCAGCAATCTTCTGTTGTCTGTTAAATAAGGCAAAACAAAAGCACAATTGCAAAAAAATGTCATTACAAAGCACATCATTAGAAGCTAGTTCAACTGAGAATGAGAAAATAATCTTGTCCCTTGTCGTGGCAAGAGTGAAATACCAACTGAATAAATTCAGACAAACCACTGCAATTTAAAGGATCATTTAATATTACAATTATTCTAAGTAGAGTAGCATCTAAACAGATAATCTTGTAGTTAGGGAACAGAAAACAGAGATCAGAGAACAGAGACTCTCCTCCTGCAATGAAATAGATAAAGCCTAAATTGGTCGGAGCACCAGTCAGTCAGGTCAGGTCCTTTGTTACCAGTCCTGAATCAGTCAGCCCCAGTCAGTCATATTTTCCCCAGCCGGCTGGGTCCCTAGAAGGTACCTCGTCTACTGGTTACTGCAGCCTGGTCATCTCCTTTCTATCCCTGGCTCCCTCAGGCTCACTTCTCTTTATCAGCTCAGCTACATAGCTACTTCTCAACAGCTGGACTCTGTCCCCCTTGACGTCTCTGCAACCCCCCTTCTCACTCCATTCTAGGAAGACAGGAAGGTTGACTCCCAAT